TAGTTTTCCCTTAGGCAAAACTAGTTTTAAAAAATAAATACTTTATTAATTGATGACAAAATACGAAAAAAGATCGGACAATTTTTATATAAAGTTATAATGTTCTTTCTTTCAAGTTTATAGACAAACTGAAATATAATATCTAATTAAAAACGCAATGGTAAAAATGATAGCTAAGTAAATATAAAAAATGTAAACTAATCTTATTGCAAAGTTCATTAAAACACAAATCCTAGATCATCATTCTTAGGCGAATGACTGGAACAGGGCCGGCTTCCATAACTCGCGTAAAATATTTTTAAAGATAATTACGAGTTTATCGACAATAAATGTGTAAAATGTCGAGGGTGTATAAGCGTAAGGATGGTGCAACAATTCTTAAACAATATAGTGCGGAAAGACTAGAAAAGTGTTTAACAGAAGTTTTAGACGGAAAAATTAGTGCTAATGCAGCATCGAAAAAATACAAAATTCCAAAGGGATGTTAATGAACAGAATACATGGGCGATACATTGTGGTCAAACTTTTTTGAGGGAAAATTGTGGTTTTTACCAAAGTTGAAGATGATTTTGTGGATGCAGTGATTACTTGTGTGAATTGGGGATTCCCATTAAATACATTGGATGTTCGTTTGACTGCAAAAGCTTACCTAGACCGTCTTGGTAAAAACTCACCCTTTAAAAATAATTTTCCTGGGTATGATTGGGCTAAGGGGTTTCTAGAGAAACATAAACAAACTTTAAGTGGACGCTTAAGCAACAACATAAAAAGAGCTCGTGCTGCCGTCGATACTGAAACATAAACAAATTTTTTTGAGGAATTACGCAAAACACTTGAAGGTTTCGACCCTGCTGCAATATTTAATTACGACGAAAGTAACTTAAGTGATGATCCGGGAAAAAGAAACTAATTTATCAAAGAGGTGTCAAATATCCAGACAATATAATAAATTATACTAAAAGTGCTGTGACAATTATGTTATGTGTTTCGGTAACTGGAGATATATTACCGCCTTATGTAGTTTATACGGCTACAAATTTATGGGATTCTTGGCTCAAAGGAGGTCCTAGGGGCACCCCATATTGTGAAAAGAAATGCTGCAATAAAGGTACACGTTATAATCGATCTGATCATGCATGGTTGGATGCAACTTGTTTTAACGATTGGTTTAAGATTATATGTTTGCCTTATGCTCGTTTAATTGAAGAAAAGAAGGTCTTAATAGAAGACAATACTTCAAAGTCATTATACAAAAGAAGCGTTCAATATTTGTAAAAAAATAACATTGATTTCATTTGTCTTCCACCAAATACAACGCATCTTTGCCAGTACCTCGACGTTAGCTTCTTTGTACCAATGAAGAATTATTGGAAACAATTACTGCACGAGTGGAAGAAAGACAAACTGATCGTCTGTTGAGAAAAGTTTGTTTCCAAGATTAATAAAAGAACTTTTTGAGCAAATGGCGCCGTCTGCTGCAGTTAATGTTAGAAAGGGGTTTTATGCTTGTGGTATTTGTCCTTTGTCTAAAGATAAACTTTTAGCAAAAATTCCTAGTGCGAAGCAAACCACTCATCGAAACAGTGCTAAAGTATCAGATGTACTATTAAATTATTTGAAAGAACAGAAAAATCCCAGAAAACGTGAGCCTACAATAAAACGAAAGAAGCTGAATGTTATACCTGGAAGAGCAGTTGCGTATGTAGACAGTCCAGAGAAAGAAATTGACGACGATAACATGCCTTCTACAAGAAGGCTTATGAAGAAAGCGATGACACAAGTTCCGGAACAAAAAGCGTGAGTGACATTTAAAGAAATATTACTGAGGAGACAGAATACTCTCACATTAATGATGTAGAAGTAAATTCATGGGTTGTAATAGAATATGTAATAGAATAGTAATAAAATACGGGAAGTAATACATAGACACTTGAGTAACAGAACAGTACAATCGACACAAACTCCCGAGGAAGAATGGCACTATATTGAGAAAACACTTACAAGAGTAACAGAAGACTACCTCAAACAAGATACACGAAAAAAGAACAAACCATGGATGACAGAAGAAATTCTAAACATGATGGACGAAAGAAGAAAATACAGAAGTAAAAATGAAACAACATACAAGCAAATACACGAGAATATCAGAATAAAGATCCAATAAGCCAAAGAAACCTGGCTAAGTGAAAGATGTCAAGAAATTGAAGAGTTGGAACAAAGACATGATATTTTCAATCTACATAAAAAAGTAAAAGAAGCCGCTGGAATATTTAAACAAACTCCTACGTCTTTCATCGAAGATAAACATGGGAACCCGCTACTGAACATAGAAGATCAAATAGGTAGATGGAGAGAATACGTGGAAGAGATGTTTCAAGACCGAGAGAGGACGAACATTTACATGCAGGAGGCATCGACTGGACCTTATATCACAAAGCAAGAAATTATCAAAGCGGCAAATCAGTTAAAGGACGGAAAAGCTGTTGGGGAAGATAATATCCCAATTTAAATAATAAAGATATTACTAGACGAACACATCGAAGTAATGGAAGATATATTTAACAAAATATACGAAAGAGGCATAATACTAAATGATTGGCTGACATCGGTGTTTATAGTACTACCAAAGAAGAGAAACTCCAAGAAATGTGAAGACCATAGGATTATTAGCCTGTTGAATCATATGTTGAAGCTTTTCCTACGTGTAATACACAATAGAGTATACAATAAAGTAGACGAACACACTGGTCAAACTCGGTTTGGTTTTAAGAATGGGTTCAGAACAAGAGAAGCACTTTTTTCAATACGTGTGCTAGTTGAAAGATGTAGAGATGTCGATTCTGATGTATACTTGTGTTTTATAGACTTTCAAAAGGCGTTTGACCTGGTGAAACATGATAAACTAATAGATATTTTAAGGTCATGTAATATCGACGATAAAGACTTAAGGATCATTTCAAACCTCTACCAAGAACAAAAGGCTAAAAAGCGAAACATCTGGAAACATCAATATTGAGAAGGGAGTAAGACAGGGATGTGTCCTATCACCTTTGCTGTTCAATGTTTACTCTGAGAAGATATTTCAGAAAGCTTTGGAAGACACCTCGGATGGTATAATTATAAACGGGCAATGTATAAATAACCTGCGATATGCTGATGACACTGTCATACTGGAAGATAATGCTGAAGCCCTGCAACGCTTAATGGACCGAGTAACGACAGCCTGTTAAGAATTTGGGATGAAATTAAATACAAAGAAGATAAAAACGATGGTCATCAGCAAGCGCCAAAACAGAAGGGTGAAGGTCAATGTCGACGGAATAGATCTGAAAAGAGTAACAAGAACAACGTACCTTGGAAGTAATCTTGATGAAACTTGGAACCACTCACTAGAGATAAGAATACGTCTGGAAAAGGCACGTACAATGTTTTAGAAAATGCAAAAAATTCTATGCAACCACCAGCTGGGCATCTCATTGAGAACTAGAATACTTAAGTGCTATGTTTTCTCCACCTTGCTCTATGGTGTTGAAGCCTGGACAATGACAGAAGCAACACAAAAAAGAATCCAAGCATTCGAACTCTGGAGTTACCGTAAAATGCTCACAATATCCTACATGAGCCATACGACAAATGCGGAAGTCTTGCGGAGGATGAATAAGGAAAGAGAGCTTATGCTTATAATAAAAGAACGGAAAACACAATATTTTGGTCACATCATAAGAAATCAGAAGTATGAACTGCTCCAACTTATAATCGAAGGCAAAGTCAATAGTAAAAGAGGACCAGGAAGAAGACGCAACTCTTGGCTTAAAAACCTACGGCAATGGACGAACATGACCTCCATAGAACTATTCAGGGCTGCTACAAATAAGATTAAATGGGCAAATATAATGGCCAACGTCCTTAAGGATAAGGCACCGTAAGAATAGAATACCAAACTAAGAAGAATATTAAACATTTTGTAGAACAAATTTCGGCGATTAAAGATGATGAAGTTAATGTTAAATTCCTAAAACTCTCAAAATTGGAAAAATTTATATGGCTTGATATCCTTGACGAAGACAATGTTCCCCTAAAAAAAGTATTAATTCCGCCAAAAATTTGCCGAAGAGGTGAGGTGTGTTTTGTTTTGGACTTGTCTGCATATAATTTTAAATAAGTAGCTTTCTTTTTTTAATAAAATATTTTTATTAAAATGTTTATTATAATTTAAATCATTTTAGTGTGTTTATCTTTATCCAAGTTAACTAAAAATCATTTTTATTAATACAACCATAGGCAGTGAACTTCACCCCAAACAAGCAATACATTTTTCTTAGTGTGATTTTTTTAATACCTGATGTTTTTTCTACTAAAATTAAAGTTAAGACTTTAATACACATATTATACAAAAATATATGATACGTTTTATTTTGTTCTCTAGGAAATATCCTTAGTTGAAGTTGAAAAATGGTCAACTACTCCCAATTTTACAGAACTAAAAAGTCTTTTAGATTTCATAGTTTCAGCAGATCTTCAGAAAGTGATAGTGCTTCCCAGAGCGAATATGTTTAAAGAAGTCATTTTTACTAGGCGTTGATTGTTTTTAACGAAAGTCTTGCTGTCGGGGGAGCTAGAAACGTCCATCCTTTAGGAATTCTGTGGCACGGAGGAATATCAGGAAGAAAAAAAGAAGATATAGTGTCTTCTTTCTACGTATTCTTTCTAAAAAATAGGGATAAATACTCCATAACAATTTGGCCAGAAAATTTCTCCGGGCAGAAAAAGAATTGGTGTTTGTTCAGCTTTATTGTCTATATAGTAAATGCTACAGAAGTTAACTTAAAATAATTAATAATATAATAACAAAATAGTCTCAGACGTTGTTCTGCTTAAAAAATTATTGTTGTAAATTGTTTAACATTGTGGTTTACCTTTATCGTTCCTATAACATCAACTTATTGACTAAACTTTTAAATATTTTTGAAAAATTTATGTGAAATAAAGAAAAAACTTACTTGATATGAAGCTGAAGAAGGAAGAATAGCAAACTGTGGTTCAGCTGGCTGTTTGGCAGCTGTGAGCAGTTGTTTGCTGACCGGCGTTTTCGGCTTTTGATACCCGGTCATCAATTGGATGCCGGGTATAGTTGGCGGGCAAATAGAGGTCTGTGAGGCTATTCGGGGCAGCTCCATGCTCCATCAGCAAGAGGCACAGCCTCATCCCGACGATGAAATTCCGAATATTTTTCTTACACCCCAACCGATAAACCGATATGACACAACATATTTTTATTTGATAAAATTAACGAAAGTTCATGCTAGACAGGGAAACATTTGACAGCGCGATTCCAATAGAGAATCACGGGATGCTTTCGCCGCGCGGTTATCTCGGACGGCTCTAACTCTGACATTCGCGGAATGAGGAGACAAGGAAACAATATTAGAGCATCGTGTGCTGCGCTCTATATATCTGCGCGATGCGGGTATTTTAAATGCGACAGCGTTGCCGTGTTTTACTAAATATAATGGTAACCGCAGAACCTTCGTTACTTTATTTAATATACGCTGCCAAATGGTATATTTATTTCATTTCGTTCCTACGGCTGAGCTCCTAATTTTCATTTATAATAATGGTAAATATTTGTTATAATCTATTTCTGCTTGTAAAAGCAATTAAAGAAATATGTTGTCATGCTGTGAGTGTTGGTTTTTATAGTAAGTTCTTTTAAATATTATCTATAACCACGTTTAAAATTGATAACCATATTCCCCTTTGTTAAACAATAAAACTAAAGTCTTAATACTACGATACGCATTGCAGATACAAGGATACACATTGCAGAAAAATGCTCTGGCTTGTCCACATCCGAAATACGGGCAATTATTTTGCAGAAACGTCTACTTATGTACTTTTGCGCTACCTGGCGTGATGCATTTAAGAGTGTTTCTATGTTTGTGCGAAGATTTGCCAAGCTGGAAGAAGAAATCACCAGTCTCGAAGAAAAGATTACATTATTGGAAAATAGCAATTCACGGACAATAGCCAATTCAGTTTTTTATTATGTACAACGTATAGATAGAGCTCAACATTTTATAATTTATAAAATTCCTGAATCTTAACCGAATATATTTCAGGTGTGTGAGGTCTTTCGTTTACTTGGCTTACAGCAAGAGGAATCCACCATATCGCATGTTATCCGAGTTGCCAAAGTGTCCAGTTACAATCAAGCAAGACCATTCAAAGTTATATGCAATGCTAACACGGTGAAATTGGCTCTTAAGTCTGGTAATAAGCTTCGAAATACAGTTTAAAGAATATCAAAGGATCAAACTAAGATGGAACAAGACTTCCTCCTCCTCAGTCTTAATTCCTTTTGGCATGTGGTGATACCATCCGGCCTTCACAGTTTTTTCACTATTTCCGTCCATCCTTCTCTGTCCTCGGCTAGTTGTTCGGCTTCATGTAACTCTTGGTTAATAAATATTTTTGTTTGATCTACCCAACGGCTTGGAGATCTTCCCCTACGTCTCTTTCCTTCAACTCTACCATCGACTATCAGTTTTTCCATTGTACCTGTCCTTTTAGCAATGTGTCCAAAATACTGCAAACATCTCTGTTGTATTTGTTTAAGCAATATATCCTTTACTTTAAGTTGTTCTAATATCGATACGTTAGTGCGATGATTAATTCAGGATATTCTCAACATGCGGCGGTATACCTACATTTCAAAAGCGTCCAGTTTATTTTTATCCGCTTTCTTTAAGGTCCACGTTTCGGATGCAGATGAGATGAAATGAGCGCCCTTACCAGTCTTAGTTTTATGTGTATTGTTATGCTAGAATTTTTCCAAATAGCTATCAGTTTCATCATAGCTGTTCTAGCAAAGAAACAAGACTTACAAGGCAGCTAAAAAGGTACTTGAGGAAAGAAAATCTGCTGGCGATGAAAATTTATGCATTAGATACCGCAGTGGTATTCCTACAGTTTGTGAAGTTATGTTTAATGGCATAAATGAGCTGCACAATAAGCTTACTGCTGGTCCAGATGGTGTGTCTATTTTTTTATTAAAAAAGTGTGTCTGTACCCTTTGTACCCCTGTAATACCATTGGTTATATTGTTTATTAATAGATCTCTGGAAATCTCTGTGTTTCCTTCTTCATGGAATTTAAAAATGGTCCGAAAGACAATATTGAAAATTATCGTAGCATTTGTATACAATCTGCAATCCCTAAGCTCTTCGACAGTCTTATAGCAAAGCAACTTTCTTGGTTATGTAAAGGCTTAATATCTAAATCACAACATGGTTTTCATATCAAGAGTCCAATACTCTTTTTATACATGGATTATCTGCTTGGGCGTTTTGTAGCTGTTGAGGCTGTCATTGATCATTAATGACAGTGGTTCGTCTCACGGGGCAAAGTCGTTCTTCTAATTTAAGAGAGTGATTACAATTTGTACTGCATGGCCGTCATGACAGCATCAGCATTTGAATTACCTTTTCCAGCCCAGTGTTCGATCTGTTCTAGCTTTCTGACTGTTGTATTATTTTCTTGCAATTATCGGCGAATGTGACCTACATCACGACCATTCCAACATCTATCATGTATAAAGATATCTACAGCAATTTCTTCTAATATGTTTTCTCCTTCTTCTTCACGTGCCATCTCCGCTACGAAGGTTGGCTATCATCATGGCAATTTTGACCCTGGAGGCTGCCGCTCGGAACAATTGTATGGAAGTGCAAGCAAACCACTCCCTGAGGTTTCTCAACCATGACATTCTTCTCCTACCTATGCTGAGCCTACCTTCAATCTTTCCTTGCATAATTAGTTGTAACAGTTGATATTTATTCCCACGTGTAATATGTCCCAGGTATTGTAGTTTCCTCATTTTAACACTCAATACGACCTCCTTTTGTTTGTTCATCCTGTCTAATACAACTTGGTTAGTTATCTTATCCTTCCAGGAGATTTTTAACATTCTTCGGTACGCCCACATCTCAAATGCCTCCAGCTTACCCATACATTGCTTATTTAGTGTCCACGCCTCCACCCCATATAACTGGACCGAGAAAACATAACATTTAAGCATTCGTATTTTCAGCTTTAAGCTTAGGTTTCGGCTACACAACATTTGTTTCATATTGTTAAAGGCACTGCGGGCTTTCTCTATTCTTATTCTTATTTCTCTGGTGTGTTCGTTTGACTCGTTAATATTTGTTCCGAGGTAATTATAATTTTGTACTCGTTCAATGAGATTCTGTCCTACATGTAAGTTGATATTATTGATACGTTTCTTTGTAATTATCATGAATTTGGTCTTCTTTGTATTCAGTGACAGACCAAATTCTTCACTTGCTTCTACCACTTTGTTTAGTAATCTCTGTAGGTCGTCAATATTTTCTGCTATGAGCGCGGTATCATCAGCATATCGGATTTTGCAAATGGGGTGACCGTTGATCTTTACTCCGGCTTTTTCGTTCATAAGAGCTTTTTTAATAACTTCTTCCGCGTAGACATTGAACAAGGTTGGAGGCAACACACAGCCCTGCCGAACACCTCTTTTGATCTGTATTTTATCTGATATCGAGCTGTTAATTCGTACTGTAGCTGCTTGTTTGTAGTATAGATTCCTTATTACTCGCATGTCCCTTGTATCAATATTTTTATTTTCCAGTATTTGCATCAGTGGCCTATGTTTTACTGTATCAAATGCTTTGTTCTAGTCTAGGAAACACACAAATATGTCCTGATTTACGTCTAAGCATCGTTGTGTTAGAACATTAAAAGCAAACAGTGCCTCTCTAGTTCCTAGTCCGTCTCTAAAGCCAAATTGAGAGGGTCCGATGTCAACTTCCAATTTTTTATATATTCTCCGATGAATGATTTTTAAGAAGACCTTTAATATATGATACATGAGACTGATGGTGCGATGTTCCGAGCATTGTTTCGCATTAGACTTTTTGGGTATGGCTATTGTTGTTGTTACTAGCCATTCATTAGATATGATACCAGATTTGTAAATGCTGTTAAATAGTTCCACGATCTTTATTACGTTGTTGCCTTTGATGAGTTTAATTATGTCTATTGGTAGTTCATCTGGGCCTGTAGCCTTCCCCGACCTCATTTCTTTAATCGTGTATTCCACTTCATCTCTTGTTATTTCTGCTCCTGTGGCACTGTTTATGTATTCGTTATCTACATTGTCTCTTTGATCTTTAAACAGTTGTTCTATGTACTGTTTCCAGACTCTTAATTTTTCTTCTGTGTCCATAGTAATGTTTCCACTCTCGTCTACTAATATGTTGTCTGTTACTTTGTCTCCACGTCAACTCTTTGATCTTCCGATGTGCATTAAAGCTGTCGTGTTTATTTTGTAGTTGTTCGATTTCTTCGCATTTTTCCCCGTACCAGTTTTCTTTAGCTGTGCGTATTTTTAGACGAATTTCTTTTTGTATCTCTTTATACTTCTGGTTCTTTTTGTTTTTTTGTTTTCTTCTTTCATCCATTAAGTTCAGTATCTCATCTGTCATCCATTCTTTTTTATATTCTTTACTTTTATGGAGGTGACTTATGCTTGGTTTCATTAACGCTGTTTTAATGTCTGTCCAATTCTCATTGATGTTAACTTTTGTGTTGTCTTTTATGGGTTGTATCTTTGTTACTGCTTCATCAATTTCTTGTATCATCTGTTCTCTTACTTCTGGTTTTCGTAATTTGTTGATATCAACTGCTTTTTTGGGGGTTGTGCTATTAATTTTCTTTAGTTTTATTTTCATTCTTGCAACTAGTGGATTATGATTAGATGATATATCTGCACCAGGGTAGAATTAGTAGAGTGAAATAAACTACATTTTCTAGAGCAAATTTTTATTTGTATATTTATAAAACTACAATACTTGATCATGAGAAAGTACATCAGTATTCTTTATTTTTTACAGTAAATTTCATGTATTAATATATACGTACACGTCACACTAAAGGAACCTTCTTGTATATATTTTTATCGCAATGGTTATGACTAGTATATGTACACATTTGTATATACAGAGTGTAGACAGAAAAAAAAACAAAAATACTAAAACACGCTGTATACACATAATGATATTTAGTAGTGTTTAATATAGTGGAAGTATAATTGTTATTTATATGTATATATCTACTTTTTGTCTCAAGCATACATAGTAGGTAA